TAAATTATTATTTCTGGCATTTTGGCCCGATCTTCAAAACAGTTGGACCTGCCTTGGCCAATAACTAATCAGCACGTCTCTTTAACAATAGGAATTGAATCATTTAAATCGGTTAATCTGTGTTCACTTGAATAATTAAAAAATATTAGATTTGTATTGATGGGGAGACGTGCTGATTAGTTTTTGGCACAAATTACGAAAAATGGTAATTGAGATTTGATATTTCTTCTCTGAAACAGCCTGGCAGCGCGATAGCTTTGCAAAAAGTTCATAATTTTCAAAAAATTTCAAAATACAAAAAATGTGTTTTAAAAGTCATTTTTTTCATTTTCAATTTTTTTCAATTTTAAAGCTCTTTATAAAATGTAATTTTCAGTACGGGATGTTTCAATAATTTGTCTTAAGGCATAATGCCATGCGTCACTAGTTTAAATTTTTTTTCAACGCTATAAGGTTGGAAGTGCAGAAATTCGTCATTTTAAGAAGGCTCGAGAACTGAAGAAAATATTTTTCTTAAACTTTCAGCTTGTTTACGAATCTTTATATTAGCCAAATTGACAAATTTGATAATGACTTATTAACCAATTTGATAATTTAAGTTCGGAGAGGCAGGCAAGGCAAAATAATAAATTTTAATAATCGGTTATTTCAACCCAAATTTTGCATTGCAATCGTATTATGTTTTGTTAATTATATTTCTTGAAATAAAAAATGTTAAAAAAATGTTGATTATATTGTATAGAATTTTTTTCTCGCTATCCAAATTTTGCCGCCCCCGAAAATTTGCCGCCCTGGGCAGTAGCCCCGATTGCCCCTACTGTAAATCCAGCACTGCATATATGACTTTTTTTTATTTAAATTAAATTTATGGTTTCGACGGAAAATGAGGAAAACTAGGATTTTGCACCTTTGACCTTGAATAAAAAAAGTCGCAGATGTCGGATCGATGGGGACTTTTGACATTTCATTTGTAATGGCCTATTTAGCATCTGTACCAAATTTCAGCTCTATGCGAATTATTCCTAACTGACGGCTTTTTTAGCTTTAATTTGACTGGGTTATTATCCTTATCCCCCCAGCCGCCCGACTAGCCCCATAATATTTATATTTTCAAATCATATGAGCCGTCGCGGTGTCAAATTACGCGCGACTTGAAAACTTGATTCACGAGACGAACACGTACATACGTACACACGCACCCGGGTAACGCACACACGGGTCACTCGGCATCGTGACAAAGTCACGTTCTTCGGGGGGCCCCATCGGTTTATGATTTAGTCGTCAGAAATTCTAGATGACGTGGGAGTCGACGACAACATTAATAATGGACACGTACGGAGGATAATTGAAATATATGTATATTAGGGTGGTCCTTAATATGGATATTTTCGATTTTTTTTTGTTCCCAAGGGTTCAAATGCTTCCAAAGTAATAAAAGAAAATCTCCTAAAAGTTTTAGCTCTTAATATTAACATTTAGATAGACCGCAATTCAATTAAAAGTTTCGTATATTTATTATTAGGTAAATTCGTGCGCCATCTGTGATCGCGGACTTGTAATTTTGGTGGCAATTTATTAGTGATACTTTGAGTGTCTACATCACCAAATAAATAATTAATTTTGATGCTATGATGAATAAATATTTCGTTAAACAGTTCACATGGATTTAATTAGAGGTTAAGTGTTCATTAAAAGAGGACCAATGGGTTGCTGAACTATAAGTGTCAAGATGTTGTCACGTCAAATATGGCATGTGGGGTATCAAATAAAAGGTCTCAACGAGCACTATATAAAAATCATAATAAAAACTACACTAAAGCAATAAAGTTCCGTACAAAGCATTTATTCGATATCTAATATCATTTTTTACAAATTTGCAAGTATACCGACTTGGTGAAAGGTTTCTATATAAGACCATTATATACAATCAAATTTAGCACAAATTTGCTAAATATTACATTTATTTTAGACGTACGGTTCGAAAGTTGCAAGAGATATAATAAAACGTGGACCAATGGGTTGCCAAACTATAAGAATCAAGATATTGCGACGTCAAATATGGCATGTGGGGTATCAAATAAAAGGTCTCACAAAGCACTATACACAAATCATAATAAAAACTACACTAAAACAATGGAGTTCCGTACAAAGCATTCATTTAAGTATCAAAATTACCAATTAAATAAATATTTTTCCGCAAAATTAATTTTGATGCCATGATGAATAAACATTTCGTTAAACAGTCCACATGGATTTAATTACATGTTAAGCAATTCATAAATATTTTTAAGTGCCATAATATTTGAGTTTACAAATGCTATTACAGATAGCGCAAGAATTTACTTAATAATAAATATACAAAACTGTTAATTCAATTGCGGACTATCTAAATGTTAATATTAAGGAGCTAAAACTTTCAGAGAATTTTTTTTATTAATTTGGAAGCATTTGAGCCCTTGGGCTTGGGAGCAATTCGAAAATATCCATACTAAGGACCACCTTAATATATATAAAATAACCAAAATTATTTATTATCGCAGTCAATTACTGTCGGTACGTCTGTCTGTTTTTTTTATTTTATTTATGGCATTTGACCGTGTGGTCATTTAGCCTCTTATTACAGAATTAATATTTTACATATTTATAATTAACAGAGATATGCATATTGTCAGCCTTTTCATGTATGTATTCTAAAGGAATAGTGTCTCGTCGGTGATCCCCTTGACTTGTTAAGTGCTAGTCGTAGCGCTTTGTTTTGTATAGTCTGTAATCTTTGTTGTTGGAGCAAAATCAAAATGACTGGTTGAGCAATTTCAATCCAAAATTCCCGTGTCAAGATAATCTTGATTAGATGATAAACTAACAAAAATAATATAATAAAAATTATAAATCATAATATATTTATTTTGCTTTTTTATGACTATTCTGGATCCTTAGTTCGAAACTCATTGAAATCCTACATACATACATCTAACTAACGCGGATGACATAGTAATTTTTTTTATATGAATTTATAATGCAAAGATTTAAATTTATTTCAGAGAAGATATTATAATAGTCCAAACGTGTCACGCAAAATCTTAAATGATATTAAGTTAGTCGGAACGTTTTGTGAAATTTGTAAAAGTTGAATTTACACTGAAAATGACATTAGTGAAAATCAAAACGTTAGATACAAATTTAACATGCACCGGGGCGGCTCATACAGATTATATATATATATATATATATATATATATAATAATGTTATTTTATATTACTGACAGAAGGCCCATGTACTTAATACCAAATATATATCGTATAAATATTAGCATTCAGTTAGTCGAAAATAAAAATTAATAAATATTCAAAAATATATATAACTTGTACATTTCGACAAAAAGTAGATGTCATAAATCCAAATCAGAAGGAGAAAAAAAAACACGCTTACAATTTTGGCAAATTGTAATTTTCCAGTTTCTGATGACGCTCATTTAGTGCCGAATCGTAAATAAA